ATCGTTGACTCACCCGGGTTCCTGTTCAGCTTAAAAGTTGTTTGTGTTGACTGATTTCTGAGCTGCAAAGGAAATCGTATCAAATGTCACTCATGTTCATGAGTAGATGTGATATTTCTGCTGCTGTGTCATTTCCAGATCTTCTCCATATTTATAGATGTATATGTATTTATTGAACTTCTCTCAGATGTGTATTGTAACACTGTGTATGGGTTAATAAACTGTGACTAAGTGACATTTTGATGGGAGGATTAACCTTTGCTTTAAAAAGAGAGCGCCTCATCACTTTTAACCTTTAACACACACTGGTTCGCCCGCAGATAGACAATACATGTGTTCAAGGTTAGACTCACCTCTGCAGTCATTGTGGTCCCTTTTTGTTTAAAAACTTCTCCTTCTACAAATAACCCATGCACAATGCATGACAGAGTTTACAGTTGAAACTTTGAAAATAAGGATTAAATCTTTCAAAAAACCCAAATTCATCGCAGAGATCTGTCGATCATCTATGCAGACCATCACCAAATCTCGTCATGCAAGAAACCATATTGAACTTCTAGCCCAAACTTTTATTTTTAACCCCAAAAAGCCATGAGGGGGTGTCAAGAAACTGCACAAATTCTGTTCATTAACAGTTTATAAATTGCCCTAAATTTCTGGTGGTTTTTGGTGAGAGGGTATTTATCTAACCACCTTAACCCTTTACCCCCTACTGTTCCACCCGCAGCACACCGGCACTATATAAAAGCTCCCCTGACTGTGAAAAGGTACACGAGTATGACCATGTGACCATGTATAGTCTCTTTTTTGGAAGGGCGGCCCGTTTGTGCCAGCTATATTGAGTTTGCGCCAGCTTCTCTGTTTCTGTTTACCCGCAGTCTCCAGCATTGACACGTACGATGCGGCTACTTCACAGTATATGTGTATATATATATATATATATATATATATATATATATATGTGTGTCATTGGCATGACCAGCACGTAGTCTGTGGTGTGCATTCACCATAAAATACTGATTCTGTCTCCTACTTCTTGATTCATCATTACTTGAGGATGGAGAGGTGACCTTTTGCAGACAGTGAACACAAGTTTATGCATCAGTCAGCATGGACTTTTGGCTTTCACCATTTCAAAACGCTTCGTTGCTTTTCGTCTCAATGTACCATCTTATCTGCAGAACAGAAGAAATCCGTCAGACTGTGTGTGTCTGTCTCCCGAGCTGTAATACACTGTCTCCTTCCTGTGATTGTCCTTAGTGGCCAACCACGACGGCACCGGGGCTCCGATGTACACGCAGGCGAACAGAGCGGGAACGCACACACACAAGAGTCACAATTCATATGCAGGAGAACAGTCGGCTCTCTCTCCAGCAGAGCTGGGTGAGAACAGAAAGAGGAAGTGCATCTTTGTGAGGAAGTGAGGAGGTGAAGTCAGCCGCTGGGTTTTGCAGGACCTGAACCGTAATCCTACGCAGTTCTAGGAAGTCTAGAAAAATCTGATTTGCTGATTAGCATGAGACAGAATCATGAACATAAATCACCAAGCCTGGTCAGGAAATGAAAGCTCTGAAAACAATAGCGAGAATTTCATTTAGATATCCCTGAGAGCTCCAGAGAGAGTGAATGAGTGAATGAAACTCTCTTTCAAACTTGCATGACTGAATGGGTTTTTTTGCCCACACAGAGCTAAAAATACAATCTGGTGGTCTGCAGGTTCAAGACGAAACCGGACAGTTTCAGGTGTGTCTGAGGGCAGAGCACACAAACCCTCTTCCGATGTGGGCAAGACAAAAGATCTGACATTTCCATATTTCGTGTATCTCAATGTTCAAACAGAAAGAGGAAATGTAGCTGAGTTTCAGCTCGCTTGGAGTTTTATATTCAGAAGTGCAGCTGAAAGTGGGGGGGGGTGATTCTCACCAGATTCGAAACACATGGTTTACAATTTATGTAATAAAGAGTCACATTGACAGAGTTAGCAGATAGAAAGGTAGTGGCAGATGTCATTAAGAATCGCAGCTGTTTGATTAGGTTTCTACAGTTATCCATTCTGGGTTTACATAAAAACTGCACCAATCAATCATTTTACAAGGTGATAATTATGTTTACAGTATGTTTCACTGCCCCGAAGCGGCTAAAGAGTCAGGTAACGCAGGACTAAAGGCATCATCAGACAGAAAGCGATCAAATATTTGCATTGTGTCAAGCACTTGTGTTTATTTGCCCCAAACAGCCAATGAAACGACTCTACGGAAGTTAAGCCAGCTACTCTCCCTTTTCTGCTCTGTAAGTTCACGAGACAAAGACATTTATGTGACAAGTTGAGACAAAGTTTTGTAACTAATCTTAAAAAAAAAAGGTTGTGGAGGTTTGTTTCCCAGCATGTAAAGACAGTCCAGTCTGCACCTTTTGGTGTAAAGGCTGGTTTCAGTGCCTCTTGTTGGTGGACTGATCCTGTTCTCTTTCAGTACGTCTGACATGACCTTTACAAAAAACAAAAAAGAGAGAGAGAGAGAGAGACCAAGACGGAAAGAAGACAATGCCAGGACAGACTGAGAGGACAGGAAGACTGTGACTGCCGTGATAATAGTAGAAGATGTGTGTGTGTGTGTACGTGTGTGTGTACGTGTGTGTGAGACACGTCTGCTGCAGACAGGCAGAGACCTCAAACCTGCAGATAAAACTGTCTGGCCGAAGATAGCGTCAAAAAATGAAACACACACACACAAACAGCGCACGCAAGTCCAGCTGTGTCTGTAAAGTCATTGTGTCTATCTGTATTCAAGTGGCTCTTATTTCAACATTCATCGCAATAAATTCCCACTTTTTGAATCCAGTGTTTTTGTTCTTTCTGTGTCCTGCAGCCGAACATTAAGCTTGTCCAAAAACTGAGCAAACTCACAGAAGTAGATCTGAAACTATGTCGAGGTCTCTGATATGCTTTCAGTATAAGGCTCCCAACCTTGAGCACACACACACACACACACACACACACACAGGAATGCACACATGGTGATATGGCAGCATGCATGACACATTGTCCAAACTTGACAACCCATACACCGAACACACTTGACAGCAGCAGGCCTTTTTATAGGTTTCTCACTCGCCTACAGTATAGCTGTCACACACACACACACACACACACACACACACACACACACACACACACTCATCAGCTATCAGGCAGTCAGTTGAGCAGTTCTGCAGATGCATGAAAGGTCAAAGCAGATGAGGAGAGAAATGTGAGGGAAGGAAGGCGAGAGGTGACAGAAAGCACAGAAGAGCTTTTTGTAGCTCTGAACCACTTCCAGTTTGTAAGCCGACACCGAATGTGTTTTTATGACGTTGTAATCAGTCAATATGTTTGTTATTGATACCACTACTCCCTTGGTATTTAAAGTCTTTAGAAACAGTTTTTCCATCACGAGACACTGAAACTCTTCATTGAAACCGATATAAATGATGTCGGTGTTGTGTTGTGTCAACTTGCTCAACGTACCTTCAAGGGGAGCTCCAGCAAAAATGTCTATTGTCTGCTGGATAATGATGTCATCAAGATTATATTATCCACATCTATAATAGAAAGCCTGCATTACGAATAGTTTGAAAGACGTGGGCATTTTATCGTGCAGAGAGGGTCCAACAAAAATATGCTATCGGTTGCATTATGGGAAATGTAGGATTCAGTGTTTTCGGAGCACAAAAAGTCAGAATAGCTCAGCCTCTGTTACGTCTGCTTCTGACCAATTGTTTTGTCTGGAATCCCCAAAATTCATAAAGGTCAAATACAAAATCACTGGGGTACCCCTTCAAAGGAATAGTTTAACACTCTCGTGTGTGACCCGTAAATATTAAGCTACCTCCAGCAGAGGGTTAGCTTAGCTTAGCATAAAGCCTGAATAGCAGCCACTGAAAAAGCAGTCAGATTCAAGATGTCACCCTCAGCTGTTTGCAGTTCACTTTATGACCAGATATTGGGCAACGTCTTCGACTGTAAATGTGTAAACAGCTTGTTTTGGATTTTCCAATGAGGAAGTGTTGAGCCAAACTGAAGAAATAAATGTTGACGGTATGAAAACACCACCATGTACTGTGTGTGTGTGTGTGTGTGTGTGTGTGTGTGTGTGTGTGTACCATGGTTCTTTCTTTCTGATGGGTTCACAGAGAGTTTAATGAGAAAGACAGAAGTTTGTCCTCACTCGTTCTTTTTCTGCCCCCACTCTGTCTGAAAGGATGGAGGAGGGGGGGCGAGTTAGGAAATTGAGCCTTAATATGTAATCAAGTTACTTTTGGAGGATTGTCCTGTCCCGAAAGTACTCCAGCAGCAGGTGGGTAAATAAAGAAAGGAAAAAAGAGGGATGATGGGGATAAAGAGCAGCGACGGGAACAGTCTGTACCTGTTATTCAAGCCAACCAGACACAGACAGGTCCATCCAGCCAGCATTCATCGTGTCACCATCTTTTTCATCTCTTTTCTGCGTCTTTTTGTTCTCACTCTTTGGTCAACCTCAGCTCAGGATAAACACCCGCACAATCAGCATTCTTGAACATGTCAGTTCAATGCTTTTATCCCTTATTTCTTCCCATCTCGTCCCTCCATCCTGCCCTTCCTCTTACGGTATCTTTCTGCAGTTAAAATGCACAGCGTGTCCAGCACAAACCGGCCGCCACTAACTGTCACCGGAGCAACCGAACAACAGAATTAATGTGGAGAGGGAGAAAGGAAAGGAAAGGAAGAGAGACAAGAAAGGCTTTGCTTCTTATTTTCGAGGCTCCACTTTAACGGCGTGATTAAGTGGTTGGAAACCGACTGAAACAGAAACAGAGCGCGGCGGAGAGTGAGGTCAGTCTGTTGGACCGTCCCGTTTGGTCCAGAACAGAAAGTCTTTGAAACACTAATAAACTGTCTGATCGGGACAGACACACGGAGGGGAAGTCGTGATGGAGCAATCAGGGGACTTCTCTTGCTTACTGATCGAACTATGGAGAACCTCTTTTTATGTTTTTGGAACCGTTTTTATTCATACTTATATTTACAGACAGCACAGCTGATTCTGACACATTCATTCACATACTGACACATTGCAGGGGATTGATTAGTTTCATATTTAGTCTGTACATAGAAACGTAAGGGATTCTATGATATCTTGTGTGGGAAGTCTCCTCTGTAACTCAAAGCATGAGGACCATGTGACCCCATCACCTCTTTATGATTCATTTAGGTCTGGTTTCAAGATCCACTTTGTATGCTTCCTCCAGAACAGTAGCAACAATGTTTTTACATTGATGAGGATCCTAAGATGCAACTTCGTCGCATACTAGTGTCCTGGGTTGATTTTGTTGGAAGTCTCCCTGATTTATTGGGATCCAGGATGATACATGAGTCCAGAAAACACAAACAGAAAAAAACCAGCTCTTTTTGGCGAAGTCCTAGCCTCAAAGCTCCAAACCTAAGAAGTGCAAAAACATGTTTCCCAGTTACTCCATCAGCACAACAGACATTTTGAAAAAGCAGAGCCAAGCCGCTCTCTCAACTTGCTGGAGTGAAGCCTGTAGGCCGGGCTCCTTTTGGCAAACTCAAATGCTTTCTGTGTGTGTGTGTGTTCAAGTGAAGTGGTTTGTTCCAACCACACAGTGGCTTGGTACTCAAGTTATGGGTTTGACCATGCAAACACTCGCTCTTTCTCAAACAAACACACACACATACTCACACACACACACACAGAGGGTGGCCCTACAGTAGTTGCACTCCATGTTTCAAAATGCAGCCGTTATGTGGTGTTCTCATAGTTCGGAGTGTAGCTACTCCGAATGAATCAGTGCAACTATGCCAGTCCACAGAGGAAGAAATGTGCTTAGTCCCTACAAAAAACTGCAAGATTAAAGGCATGGAGCAAGTCTCCTCTTCTCACGAAGGGGATAAACATTTCATTTTTAGTCTCTGTAAAAAAAAGAAGGATGTCAAACATCTCCCAAGTTGTCATAGATGATATCAGGTGATCTCAGCGGTGCCTGGTGGTGCTGGTTGTACCACGAATTAGCAGATGGAGGTTTCTGCTTCGACACTCTGCTATACAGCTCCCTCCCCTCGTCTCCTCCACCCCAAATGTTGTTGTTGTTGTTGTTCACATTACTGCCAGGACCTCCATGTTTCCCGGGGGGCAGGGGCACCGGCTCTTTTCGGCCAAAAGCGACCCGGCCCGGTTTGGGGGCGGTGACAGGTTTGGGCCACCTCGGAGCCGGAGGCTGCGGCGTGCCGCGGCTTGGGCCCAGCTGCGGAGGCGACTGTCTGAGGGAGGGGCTGCTGTAATTTCCCTCCAACCCTGATAGGTCTTCCTGTCTCCTCTGGCTGTAGGGCTCCAAGCGCGCCTCGTCATAAATACTCATCCCTGAAATAGCGGACATCCTCGCGCCTCCTTTGGCGCAACCCTCGGGTTCATCGTAGATGTGCTCCGGACGCGGAGCAGGAGGCGAGGAAGCCCCCTCTGCTTGACCTCCTGGGGGTCGCCTGTTACTGTTCACGCCTCTTCCTCCCCCCGCTGCCCCGTTCAGACCCAGCGCGCTCGTTTTCTGGCTCAGCTCCAGGCTGATCCGGTCGTAGACGTGCGAGTACAAGTCCGGTGGCTTCCTGTGGTTGCTGCCCACGAGGTGGTGATCCCCTTGGATGCCACCCGCCGAGGCCTCGTCTCCTACTGGTCGGAGGCGTGGGGTGGGCACTGGAACGATGGATGGGTTGCTGGTTTGACTTTGACTTTTAATGCTGTCCACCGGGTCGGAGTACAGGCAGTCGATGCCTTGCAGAGGCAGGCGGACCAAATCTGCTGGCTCAGAATAAAGACTTGCCTGTTCATCAGCTGAGGAAAGAGCTTTTGCTGCTGTGTGTCCCCTAGGAGTCTTTGGAGGCCCCACCCCACATCCCAAACCCCCCAGCATGGCTGGTGGTTCTGGTAAACTCCTCCCCTTGAGTCCTCCGGCAGTGCCTTGCCCCCTTCCTCCTCCTCCTCCCTCTCCACCCTCCCTCTTCCCGAGCACACCATCGGCAGAGCCCGGTTTGCTGCCGCCTGAATCTCCGTCTGCCTCCCGGCTGCTGCAGCTGCTGCCGCTGCTGTCTCCGCTTGCTGCCGTCACGCCGCCGGGAACGGCGTTGCGTATGTGCTGCAGCGACGCAGGGCATTCTGGGTCAAAGTTAACAGGGCAGCTGAGGTGGCGCTCCTCGACCAGCACCTTCTGTGACTGGATGGCCTGGTCCACCAGCGAGAAGATCTCGTTGCCTTGCTTGGTCTCAAAGGTGAAGTTACCGGGGCCCGAGTCGCAGCGCCGGCCTGCCTCGAACGAGAACATCACCTGGAGGAGAAAAACAGAGAGACTAAATAAATATATACAGAGGCGTCTGAAGAAATGACAAAATGGAAGCGAAATAATGGAAGCTAGTCACAGAAGTCATTTATAATATTCTTGGCACTAGATGGCAGCTTGCTTCCTTTTTCCACTGAACTTTACTTTTCTCAGCTTATCTATTTTATCACTGCACTGTTTTCACTTACTGTTCCAATTTGACTTCATACACACACTTTCTTCCCCTGCTTTCTTTTTCGCAAACGCAGAGACCTACGTACAGAGACAAATTGTGTAGACAAATTTTAAAACCATTGGTCTCTATCAAAGTATCACAAAAACAACCAGACTCTAAAGCTAAATATCCTCTGTGACAGCGAGGCCCTGACCCCACACACACACACACACACACACACACACACTCATTTGCACCTCCTAAATACGATGAAGACTGGGCTTAAATTGAACACACCAAACTTCCTCTGCCTGTACTCGTCAGATCCGTCAGAGATCTATTTTTGATCCCTGAAGATAATATATATTTTTTTGTCTCATAAGCGCAGACACCCACCCGGTCTCGCCCATATCTCCTCAGCAGCTTGTAGGGCCACACCAGAACGTTCCTCTTGGTCTTTGGCTCCTTCAAGATTAAGGTGTCGTTTTCAGCTTTCAGCCAGTAGCTGCCGGCCAGCCCGCAGCGCTCCGACGCCTCAGTTCGCTGAATGCTCACCCAGAACTCGTTCACTGCGAGGAGAAGAAGCCAGACGTGTTTTTGCTGTAGGTTTACTTATAGTCTCCTCATTTCTAATGATCTGCTGTGCTAAAATATGTCTCTGAAGTCCTTACCCTCCTCTCTGGAGTAGTAGATGAGGTTTTCAGCCATCTGCAGGTCCTGGGCTCCTCCATTGGAGTCTGCAGCGGTGCTGTTGCCGCCTCCTCCCTGCTGACACAATAAAACGCAGAGACACTACTAGTCAACCAGCTGACAAAGAAGGCAAATTAGGATCCTCATAGTATGTTAATCAGGAGTTTGCTTTTTGGTTTATGTGTAGACAACGTTCCAGTCCACTGGGAGGGTTGAGTGGGCAAAGAGTGAGAGAGGGGAAAGAGGAAAAAGAATAAAGACAGAGGACGAAGCGGATGAAGTCGTCCTGCTGGAAACTCCCCCCCCCCGGCTTCCTCTCTGCAAATAAGTGTAACGTTCATGTGTGTGTATGTGCGTGTGTGTCAGTGCACACAATGTAAGCTGTGGCCTGTACAGACACTCCAGGGGCATGTGGGAAATTTTGGAAGTCACACAACAAAAGGAATTAAGCTACGATCCCAGTTGAGAGCAACATTTAGAACAGCGGTTCTTCAGCGTTTCCCCCCAAACTAAAGAGACTAAAGTATTTTTCGTCATATTCAGGCTCGAAAACAAACACGTAAGCTCAAACCTTAAAAACTCACAGACACAAGGAGAGAGAAAGTGTAAGGATACCTGGAATGCGATGTCACACATGGTATCCATCCAGTCTTTGGCGACGTTCTTCTCCGCGGCGAACACGTGCGTCTTGTCGTTGGTCTCCACACAGAAAGCTGCCATGTTTTCTTTGGGACAGCTCTCCGTCACAGCCGGCAGGATGGAAATGCACTCCGACAGGCGGATGATCTTCTTGTCGAGCTTCCTGGTTTTCTCATTGGACCCGCTTCCGGAGGTTCCGCCGGCCCCGCCCACTCCACCCGAGGGCGCGTCGAAGAACTCGAGGCGGGCGATGCCGTTCTGACTGGCGGGGTAGAGGACGAACCAGTTCTTCTTCCATTTCTGATGAGTGGAAAAGTTGAAGAGGAGAAGATTAAAGCTGCACTAATCAATATTTTCATGTTGTCAATGGAACAAATGACTATGTGTGATGTGAAAGATGTATCATCGGACCCAGTGGTTTCCCTTTGATTCATCCCTTCAACATACATATTGTCAAAATTTGTAAGTACTGTATCACATTTCTTTCTTTGAGTTTCCATTTTGTTAGCTTGTTCTAATACAAATTTTAGTGCGGGGGGGGATGACACACATCTGGCCTGCTTACATCTGTCTGAGGAGGGAGGAACAATTTCCATGTGGTTTGTTCAGGCAGCATGGGGGGGGAAGCAAAATGCAGCGATTGCCACAAATAATCAAAAAACGATGAAAAGTGGAGAATGTTACGGTTTGAAGATCACAGAAGACGTGAGTCAAAATAACATTTCCAGGTCTTTCCCTTACTTCTACTCTACCGACTGAGGCTTAATGTAGGAGGCATGTGGTGATGAATCTGAGGCAGTTTGACTCAGACGAGTCGCACACACCAATGTTTCACTCAGCAGCAGTGGACCACAGGTACAGAATGAATAAATACAGTGGGTAAAAGTTTAGTGTGACAACTAGATGGGCACCCAATAACAGGTATGACCACAAAATAACAACACTGTGTGAAATTACAAGGAAGTGTGCTGCGGCCCCTTCACAGGTTAAAAATATGACCCCCGGTCTAAAAGTAGGTGACAGGTGCATCATGTCTCTCTGGGGCCCGCAGTGAGGAAGCAACCACTGACAATGAGCTCTTCCTCCTCAGGGACAGAAAAGGGATGTGACCAAACAACGTGACTCAAAATACTGAAGAAGCACAGCGAGTGAGTGTACAAGACTCCAGATGTGCAGTGCCAACTATGGACATGATGACACACTGCATGTGAGATTGTGTGCAATCACTACACAATACATGGAACTGTATGAGATACCAGAACTCAACACTTGTTTGGGAAGTCCCTGTACCCTCTGGACATGTATGTGTGTGTGTGTGTGTGTGTGTGTGTGTTTTTGGCTACCCCGCGTCACACTCTGCCTCATCTCAGCTACAGCTGTGTTTTCCCCTTACATTCACTTGGTTGGGGCAGAAGCTGTCTGACAGGCAGAGAGCTGAGCTTGTGACAGGAAGGTCAGCGGCTTGAAAATCCTTCGAACAGCGGAGAAAATCCTGCTGACGGGGAAGAATGAGACACACTGTAGTGCCGCCGCCTCATTTAAAGGGCAGATGAGGTGGTTTTACAGCGCAGAACTCGAAAAAAGGGGACGTTGAATAACCAGGTAGAATGTTTTAACAATAGGTTCACTGAAAAAAACAGGAATTTCCAAAAAACCATAATCAAAACTTCAGCCTCACAGCAAACTGTCAACTCCTGTCTCCCCTCCTTACTCCACTGAATGGCCTTTTACTCTCAGGCTCACCTAACTGGAACCTACCACCTGCACAGGTAAGTATAGGGTGAGCTTAACACAGAATAATGAACACACCATAATATCTCTCAGTTACTGCTGAGTATCAATCTATGATCCATACCAATGAGCACACCAATTATAACAGAATGTCAGTTGCAGCAGAACCCCCATCGTCCCTGCTAAGAGGACATAATGAGGCAAACCTGTTTGCACTTTCCTTGATTGAGCTGCTCCCACAACGTCTCTGGCAAAACAAAAAAAAATAATCCTATCAACCCATAAAACGAACAAACACACACACAAGCTTGTGTCTTTTATACGCCTTACTTAATAATGTATCAGATAAACTGAAACTGTTCATGTTGGGGAACGAGTTTTAGTGAAAAGGGATAAAGGGACATTTTCTTTATTATCTAACAATAAAATGATCATCCAGTTCATCTGAAAACGACCTATACGCAGCTCACAGTGTGTGACTTTGGATATGAATGTAGATAGTAGAGGGTTGAAAAAAAAACTCATGACTACAGTTGGGAAATTGCTGCAGAAAATGTGTCTATTTAGGGCTATTTGAAGTAAACCAATAGCCAGACATTTTGAGTTGTCGTTGGAGGGAAAGCACAGGTGTTACTCATAACACTAACGAGGGCTCCGTCCTATTCAAGAGTCCCAGTAAGACAGGACAATGTGACAGAGAGCCAGCATGCACAACACCAGAACCCCACTGTTGGGTCCATTAAAATGTATGTTATAAACGACTGACCATAACTGAAGGGGTAAAAGTACAATATGTGTATTAAATGAAGTGTGACTGCAATGGAAACAAAATTAGCACTCCTGTACTTTTCACCACTGGGTTAGCGGATGAATTCTACCAACATGTCAGCTTGTTCGCTGTCACTCACAGCATGGAGATCACAGACATGCGAGTCGGTCTTAAAGTGGAATTATAGCATTTGCACAACATAAAAATCAATCAAATATTTAATCCTCGTTGCAATTTAACAGTAAGCTCAAACCAGGTGGGACTCTCCAGCAATAAAGCTGTCATAAATTGTAAACATCACAATTATTGCAAGAACAGAACTGACGAAACGTGCATAAATGAAAGCCAACTTCATCAATTTCTATAAGTCACATGTACACCAGGTTCCATAAGTCAACACATGCACGATTAACTAACTGCCAGAAAGGACAGGAAATGTGTGGGATTGTCATTACCCAGGATACTCTTCACTTCCTTCTTCTGCACCCAGGTGTGTCTCAGTGTGTGTGTGTGCATGTGTGTGCATCTGTTTGTATTGTTGTACATATTCCCCCTCTGCGCATTAAGGACCATCTGTTGCTGTGCACAAGTGCATACAATCACATATAGAGACTGTGACAAAAACGTGTGGTTGTGCTGTATACATGAAGAAGGTGCGAAACATTAACCCCTGTTGAAATACGGTCCTAAAAGGTGTGGGTGTATATGTGTGAGTGTATGTGTGTGGGTGTATGCGTGTGAGTGTATGTGTGTGTATGTGTATGTGTCTACATGTGAAACAGCTGCTCCATATAAGGCAACAGACCGTTACCAGCAACTACACACAAAGTGGAAATTATGCAAAAAAGTTCATGACAGAGAGATGGAGAGAGATATTTCCTCACGGATGCCCTGCCTGTTCACAAGAACAGAATGAACTGCAGTAGTGTGTGTTTGTGTTTCTCTGTTTCACAGTTTCACTGCCCAAACAATAAATGGCCTTTACCGTCATGATGACCTATCGCGCTGAGAAATTTACATTTCCAAGAAAAGGAGCTTTGATTGAAAAGCTCCGATAAAAACACTGCTCTACGTTCTACGTTCATTACTGAAAAGTTTAGTTTTTTCCTTTTTAACATATTGTTTGTGAGTAGAAGCTGCATCAAGCTAGGATAAGAAATTAAATCTAATTCCCCGGGACTTGCCCTTGACACTGTCACGTCTTTGTTTATTTGTTATTAAAATGTAGACCTCATTTTAAGAAGAATAAATGCGGGTAATGATGTCCATCTTGCATCATTCTGAACGTGCATGTGCAATGTAACCGTTGCACAGTGTCCCTGTTCATGTGCAAAGTAAGTAAGTACAATAAGGCATTAATACATTGTCTGTCTGTATGAATTCTTGTGAGATCATTTTGCATAAACTACTCGGACAAATTCTGCCATGTCTGTCCTCAAAATTGTCATTGTATTTATTTGTTTATGAATTCACATTTTGCACTCATTTTACCATTATATTATTGTAAGATACAGGAAGATGTTTTCTGTGCGATTCATTGGAGTTCACCCTTCAAAACCTGCCGTGGGGACCTAAGTCACTCCAGGAGCTGGAGGAGTGTGTGTGAGTGTGTGTGTGTGTGATGAGTGGATACATTTAATCCACTGCTTTCACCGCTCAAACACAGGCTCTTCTCTATCTGTCAGGATGCTATTTAACTAAACCACTGGACCATGTTCCCACTGGCCACAGACAGACCTCAGTGACACACGCTGGAGCAGAGTGTGTGTTTTATCCGAGAGAGTGAAAGTATGTTTGTGTATCGGAGCAGAATCAAAAAGTATGTTGTCGTCATCATTCACAATGAGTTCAGCTTGAATCTGATGAAAAAAAGTGTGTGTGTGTGTCTTTTCTTATCTCAAATAGCATGCCAAAACCAACACTGCACTGTGATCAAAAAGATATGTTTGTGAAAATATAAAATGGTACATTATCCGTTCATCATACGGCATGCTCACGATAACATTGACTCTTATCCGTGCCCACCAATGCTCTTATTGTGACACTGCCACTGAAATGAACTTTTCTCCAATTCACAGAAACTATTACAATTACTGTAAGGAAGAACTGATCATTGTTTCTGCACATGCGTAATCATTTCTTTACACTCACAAGTGAGTTCTTCATGCTACAAATAATCTGTTGCTTCTTTTCAGAGAAATAGGATTCAGCATCAGAGATGCTACCTGTGGTGAAAAAAATGAAGAGAATATCAGACGAATCCCATTAATCCATCAGGCAGGTATTACTCTTGACGTGATGTGTGTAATACTACTTTATCCCGACACGCCCCGTCTGTTCAAGTGTCTGCTGGCTCACGGCTGAAGCTGTCTTCATCATTTACCATCTACCCACATCTGCAGCCTCTGCCGGTAGCTGGCAAACAGCTGCTGACATCCACATCAAACCGAGAGCTTTTTGTAGCTCCGGGGTGCAGATAAAACTGCAAAACTGCAGATCCAAGTGGATGCACGTACAGGCAGCTATTTTACCACTAAATCACATCGCTCATGCTCCACATGATTTGGCCCCGAGATGAAAACAAATGACAGCTCTACAAGAATAAAGACTGTAATTACAACAGTAAAAAGTTAAGGACTCAATCAACTTCAACTGGGCCTATGTACTGTAACCACATGTGCTGTATATATATACACAAGGCTCCACTGTGGACGTGAACATCCACATCACCACAAATACTTGGCGTGCTTTAAACCTCTGCATTGTTCAGATGTGGATTTTGTTATGCATACCTTTGTAACGCCGTGTGCATCAAACTTCAGAGGAATCAGCACATGTATTTTTGTGTTTAAAAGGGATCTTTTCAAATCCCTCTGGTGTTTCATTAAAGGGGCACTTCACAAATTTTGCACCTAACATATTATTTTATACATTTTCTTATACATTTCTTTGTCCATCGGCTAATCTAACGATTCCTAAACTGGGGGGGGGGGGGGGGCGAGCCAGTGCAGTGGGAACACGCATGACTGTGGGCACATGGAGCTGAACCAAAACTGGGTTCATCTAAAATCATTTGGGAATATTAAACAAAAATGAAGGCTCTAATGCAGGAAAGACAATCAACTTTAATTAAAAGATTTATACAGAAAGCAACATGGACAGATTTTTGACAGAAGACAAAAAAAAAACATCCAATGATCAAACACATTGGTCAATCCAAAATATGACGAAGCTTATCTTTTTCTAGCTGGAGTGCTTCTTGTGTCTTTTGTGTGTGACAACTCCGGTGGTTTGGGCAAAGTTTAACTAACATCTGCATAACAGTAGCTGAGAAACATACATAAAGAAAGCAACTTAAGCTCTTGATGTTCTGTCAATATAAATTCTACATGATTCCTTTTCTTCCTAGTCTCCCCAATACTGATATCTGATTGGATGTGGAGCGTGGACACTAAAATCTTTGACACAACATAAATGAAACCTGGATGCATCTTGACAGTTTACATCCTAGCAGCCTGCCCACGCACATGACAACGAGCCTTTATGAATGTGTGTGTGTGTGTGTGTGTGTGTGTGTGTGTGTCCACTGACAGCTCTGACGATTGCATAATCCATCCAGCAAACCTCAAACCAGTTTCAACACTTTCAGATCAGCCGACGTTCAGCTTCCTGTGCCATTCTTTTCTACTCTGGTGCATTTTTATCCACTTCGGTTTATCTTCATGTTCAACTCTAAAAAGATAACATGTTATATTTTCAATATGAGGAGACTCTTGTTTGTTCTCAATCTGTTTATTTTCTACTGTTTACAAAAGGCATTGGAAGCTTTTGGAAGCAAGAATATCTATTGTGAACCCGCGACTACGGGGCAGGAAACATGGCCAGAACGTTTTGTTGATCTGTGTCATATGACCAGAGAGAGAGAGAGACAGACAGAGACAAAGAGCCTCTTACAAGAAAAAGAAAGAGTAAATGAGTTATTATCCAGCGGTGCAAGGAGACTAACGGTGAGGTTGCATGGAGGCCAAGCACTGGAATAAACACACAGACACACCCACGGGTGCAATCACTGACATTTAACCTGCTGTGTGATCTCCTAAACTAAAATGAGTGCGCAGGGGGCAACAACACTAACCTGGCTTGTTGACAGTGTTTGCAATGGTGTGAACAGCTGTTTAAATGCAGCTAGGTGAAGTGGAAATATGTCTGCCACCTTCGTGAAAAAGGTCGGTTTCGCCACTGTCTCGACTTTGCAGCTCTATGAATCTATGTTGTTGTGGGAGTGCTTATTGTGGAAAGTCAAAATGTATCAAACAAGGTGTGTTTTCAATCAAGCAGCTCTATTACCTAATGACTGAGGTGTCACCAGCTCACACACACACAAACAAGTCTCATAACCTCAAAAAAAAAAAGGTGCTTCAGTCCACTTTGCTTTCATGCATTTGTACATTCACTGAATGTTACTACAGTGCACTGTGGCTGTTAGCAGCTCATTAACACGTTCACGTGCATACTGGCTCACACACAGAGATGCGCAGCAGGTTTACTCCAAAGCCACCACATCAAAACTAGGCCAGATCAGTGAAACATGGCTGGAACTTCCTCTCTCTCTCTCTCTCTGCATCTACTGCGTGTTTGTCTTTGAAGACGCTGGGCACAATGGCTGCTCTGTAATTGCATCAATATGTGCTCTATTTATGTGTCATGATCAAAAATGCGGCTCCTTTATGGCGCACAAGCAGGGATTGCGCAAAGTCAACGTGAACATATTTACCTACAAACTTCTGCTGCTGTGTTGACTTAAACTAATCAATAACAGGCTTTATTTGTCTCATAAATATATGGTATTACTTTATCATTTCTAAAATGTTCCTAGGAGAGAATCTTTTGATTATTTTGTCGCCAATAATATCATTTTCTTAATTTCTATAAGGACTTACAAACTGGTTATCATAGGCAGCAGTTACTGTATCACTTGCTGTGGTATTTCTATAATATTCATAAGGGGACTTTTAGTGTCTGAGAAGCATTTTAGCTACTTTTATTGGCTTTAAAGACCTTCGTGGAATAAAGCATTTCCTCATATATTACTGGTATATTATATTAATATTACTTTTATATCGCTGCCTATAAGCTTGATGTTATAGCATCCTTAAAGCCTTCTTATTAAGGGGTTACTAGCAACAGAACGTTTCATAATTTCTGTCAACGCCACTACCGTTATAATATATTATAGGAAACAACTGTTCTCCTTGGACTTACCTTTCCAAACTTCTGATGCTGCACAAAAAGTTGTCCCTCCTTAACGTGGGTGTCCATGCCCTCAAACACTCCAGGGCCACCCTTCCGCTAGAAAGGCGAAATTCGACTTGAACTTGACTCACTTTTGAGGGGTTTATTTTTTCCTATATCCTCCTATCAACTTCCCCCTTCTCTCACTTCCGCCCCCCCGCTGTTGAAGCGCACGTATCGTACCGCTCGCGCACAGCTGAAGGTGTCATGGTGGAAATTTAAAAAAAGCCAAAACAGTCCCGAGGTGGTCCCGAGAAAGTTAGAGTGTGTCCGAATGTTGTCGGCGGGTCGCCTGTCTGTCGCCTCTCTCCTCCTGTACGGTCTGAACAGAGAGGAAAGCCACGCTTAATAGATAACGAAGCGCTTCCGGTTACAACTTTCAGAATAAAAGTCCAATTAAGTATCGCAGTTCCGAAGTAGCCTACACATGTAGACTTTTAAATTCGATTTTTAATTCAGGAGACCCACTACAAGACAGGTCCTCAACGTGTCACCTTAGGTCCCCCTTGTCATTTCAACTGGCATTATGCTCTTAGTGGATAAATTGCAAGAGTTTTGAAATTGACAGAAATATTAATTATTTCTTTAAGGAGACTAGCAATACAGCTTTGCATATGATCACCAAGACCATTGTTTGTTAAACCTTTTTTTTCATAGAAGAGCTCAATAGAAACCCCAAATAGTTTGAGAAATATGTATTATTATGTTCCCATTGTTTATGGGCTTTGCAAAATTTGATCGCGTATGTGTGTTTTTATTTTTAAATCCAAATTATTTAACATCCGTTATAGTAGTGAGCTTGTGGTGCTTGACGCAGCTGTCTCCCTACAGGGGGAGTGGGCATAGCCTGTATATTAGAAGAGTGAGCAGCGCATGGCGAGCGCACCGAGCCGCTCCTATTCTTCCTCTCCTCCCTCCTCCTCACTCTTGTGTAACTTCTCTGTTGGGTTTCAGCTCTGACACGCTCACTTTCTAAGGCGCATACAGACTATATGGATAACGTGCATTATACTTTAAACTGCATGTAACAACAGATGATGTATATTTTGGAAAACATACTGCAGGACATCACAGCAGGGCTATACAAACTCATAGAAAACTGCTACTATTCCTTATACAAACAAATAATATACGGTATAAGTACAGTGATATCACAGACATTTTGGGTAGCCAAAGAATGAATTTTTTTTTAAGGAACCGATGTTGGCAAAGAGATGCTGGCCTCAAAGTTAATGTGTTGCAGATGCCTCCTGCTGGCTCACAGTGTAACTCAAAGTTGTTGTTTTCAGTCCATAACCAAATGGTCCTAAATATCTGTCCATATTGGGCCGATACTTGACACTGAGTATGTTTTTTTTAGACCATGAGCCAAGACACACAATTAGTCTTTACTTTGACAGTGTTCTTTCACAATACAAGAAAACCTGCTATTGCCCTGTCTTTCTGTTTTTCTCACATAGCACATAGCAGTGAACAAACCTTAGTACCTTGCATAACATTTTCTGCCTTACTATGTTTTTCTTTTTTTATCATCACCATCACACAATGTTACCTGTAGATTATATATTTCCAAAATGCATTATGACATAACGTAATAAATGTGTGATTTGAATCATAGTCACTGCCATTCATTTCTTAATAACACATGGGAAAACACAGCTGCCACCTACTGGTAGTTTATTATTACTGCAGCTTGGAGCTCTCCTGCCGCTCTCGCGATATTTGCGCACTGCCTGGACCGACTGGACCAAAACAGGAAGTGAGACATGGCATCAGTGTTCTGTGGAGTAGAGGGGTGAGAATTAATTACAATATAAAAACAAACACGGACTTTAAACTATCGGTCAATGCTAGTGTGTGTTGCAGGCTTTTATTTGAGTTGTTTGCGGTTTGTCACAGAGCAATTTACAGTTTTATCTGATACTTTTTTAGTTGCATACTGACCATAGACTAGTCTTCTGACTGGGGGAGCTTTTTAGCTGTGTGAGTCTCGTGACCACTTCCTCTCAATATATGTAAATTAACAAACGTGATCCTTTTTAAAGCTTTTTTTGCACTTTAAAAGTGCGAGTATTTGTGTCCTTGCTGCCTCACCTGTCAGTTTATATATCACAGCAGATGCATATCTGTTTGTCTTGATGTATGCATGTGTTTCAGTTTCTCTCATCCCCTCTGCCCTCTCTATGTCTGTCTCCAGTGGAGCGACCCACTCCAAAGCGGTGGTGGTGGCAGCAGATGGAAAGATCCTGGCCGAGACGGAGGGACCGTCCACTAACCACTGGGTAAAAGGAATAAATAAGGGGAATTTGGAGGTTTTGTGCTTCTCTTATATATTTACTCAATGCATAAGACCAGAAAAAAACTGATTGCATAAAGATGTTCGTGTGTGTGTGACCATGTTTATACAGTTGGTCGGGCTGGACAAATGTATTGAAACCATCAACGATATGGTCCAAAGAGCCAAGATGGAGGCGGGGCTGGATCCGAACACGCCGCTGTGCTCGTTGGTCAGTCAGACTGTTTGTGAAACGCTCGTACGATGACGTCCAATGAAAGCATCCCATGAAGACACAAGTGGAACATTTTAAACACAGATGTTTCTGTACGCGCAGGGCATGTCTCTGAGCGGTGGGGAGCAGAAAGCCGCCATCGACAAACTGATCGCTGACATGAAGCAACGTTTCCCAACTCTCTGCCGGCACTACTTCATCACCACAGATGCAATCGGTGCAATGGCGACTGCCAGCAATCGTGGTAACTAGTCTCTTTCTATTGTAAGACACTCACAGTAACATATACAGTGGAAATCAGGGAAACACCTGATACTTTACCCCCTTAGGTGTGGCTGTATCAAAGTCATTTGTATCATTTATAGCGTGTCTTTCCACACTTTATGGCTTAATGAGATCGTCATTGTCATATAATACCAGTCAGCATCGGACCGTCTCTGTTTTCTCTGAAGGAGGTGTTGTGTTGATATCAGGGACCGGCTCTAACTGCAAGTTGGTCAATCCCGACGGCTCACAGATCGGCTGTGGAGGCTGGGGTCACATGATGGGTGACGAAGGAGGAGGTAACCACGGCAATATGTATATGAATCAGCTTTACTGATTGGACACCAGACCCTTTCAATGGTCTCTCTCTTTCTCAGCATTCTGGATCTCTCATTTGGCGGTGAAGACGGTGTTTGATGCCAGGGACAACCTGGCCGCTCCTCCCCATGACGTTACGCATGTCAGCAAGGCCATGGAGGAGTACTTCCAGGTCAGCGTCACAGTGAGAAATGTGTTCATTTGAAGTGCCAGCCAGGCTAAGAAACGAACCTTGAATCAAAAACACCTCTGAGAAGTCAAACAGTTGAGTGTCATCTGATTTCGGGAAATTACGTTTTGCTCTTCTGATGTATTTTGCGTATATGGATAAAAGTGTACAATTTATTACAGGTGTCAAATCTGATGGGCATGCTGCCGCACCTCTACAGAGACTTCCAGAAGTCCCACTTTGCCGGTTTGTGCGTAAAGCTGGCTGAAGGTAGGACGGCGCATCATTTCCTGCTTGGTTCTTTTAAGGTGACGAGTAAGAGATTTGAATGGGGAGGTCAAATGAAAAGTGTTTGTTTGCATGTGTTTCAGGTGCAGAAGCAGGGGACGCTCTCTGTCAGTATGTGTTTACTCAGGCTGGGAGAGTCCTGGCAAAACACGTAGAAGCAGTTTTACCAACAGCACAAGAGGTAATGTACACACACACACACACACACACACACATATACTGTGCCTTCACTCATGTATTAAAAACATTCACACATGACTCTCTTCGTCCCTCTCTGATGACAGCCTCTGTTGAGTAGTGACCTCGGCCTGCCCGTGCTGTGTGTGGGCTCAGTGTGGAAGAGCTGGGAGCTTCTGAAGCCAGGTCAGTGCCCCGAAAATCAAGATAATGAGGTCTTAACTTATTTTCCCCATCATTTTGACTCTGAAAGAGGTGAAGCTGTAAAAAAAGTTCCTCCAAATCTCAGTTTCCTCTCTTAGTTTCTGCATCTTTCTGTCTCTGATTCTGTGATTAGGGTTCACTGAGGTCTTGGATGAAGTGGCAGCATCTGACAAGTTCAAGGGCCGTTTCCATCGCTACAGCCTCCTGACTCTGCGGCAGTCCTCGGCCCTCGGCGGCGCTAGTCTGGGGGCTCAGAGTATTGGCGAAACCTTAACTCTGGATTATGACGCTAACGCCAAAGTCTTCTACCAGCACACTTTTAACAGCATCCAATGAGAGTGCAGCTGCAAATCCCCGTAATTCTGAACCAATCAGTGTTCAGCTAAAGGGAAATCGTATTCTCCAATATCTATTGTTCAGCATCCTTGCTAATAGCACCTACTATAATGATGATGAAGATGATAATGATTGTGTAATAATGGTGAAGCACTTGATTTGGTGGTTTCTGTGGAAGGTGGTTGAAAATATCCAATATCTTCATAGAGGCTATTTTGACAATGTAATTGATATGTCTTTCCTTTTACTGTAATTGTAACTCTTTGCACCTTTATAACACTTGTTTACATTTGACATTTATAATAAAAGATACTGTTGACTGTTAACAGACAACTCATTCAGTGTTGTGAATAAGTGCAGGTTTTAAAATGCTCACTGTTGATATTTCACAGTTACCATAGGCAGAGAAATGTAACACTTGATGCATCTTTTGCAGGATGTCTGCACTGTTGTTTTTTTACTACTAGATAGTGCTATTACCACCCCTCCACTTGTGACGCACACATCACAGTGTCACTTCTTCAATGGTAATGTAATGACTAGCAGGAAGCCCTAATTCTCATGGATCCACATGTGCTGAGGTATGACTTAAGTGCACGTAGAAGAAAGTCTTTGTTCGCAACACAGTCGTTTTCTTGTCATTGATTTCATGTGATTTCATTGATTTCATACATTTTGTAAATTTAAAAGAGCTCCAAGTGCACACTCCCCAGTACGTCAGGGACACCTGTGGCACATTTGGATACGGGTGGTATCAGAAAGAATATATTATCATACATGATAGGAGGGTGTTTTACAGGCGGTGACAGATTTTGACATTTTGGAAATTCACTACTTTCATAATTTAAACAGATGGCCCTCCCCGTCATGACGCACTGAGTTTAGGCATCCTGTGGAGAATTCTCAGAAGAAGCTCGTCTGGGATCATCAGAGCTTCAACATGAATATATATATAGTTATATACAGCAGCTCAAATATACTGCCAAGTTCAGATGACGGCTCTTTTTTTAAGTTGGATTCATATTTTTAGACATGTCCTGTGGCTATCATGTTTTCATTGAACTGTGAACAGTTTGACCGTCTCCCTCCACAAGCTGCATCACTGTGTCAGTCAGCATTACTGTTAACTATGTTTATTATCACGTTGATTACGTTATCAATCTCAAATCTCAGGAAGCTCATGCATACCGACTCTCCTGTTTTTGAATTAATTCTGGATGCATCTAAATTCTTACCTTATCATTAGAGTACAATGATTTTCTTACAACTTTATCACTGCAATTCTTATTATTTTATTTAAACAAAAACAATACCATGATGTGATTAATCTAGGTATAATGCATTTTAAGCGATTTAACCGATGGTACAGTAATTGCATTTCACATCATCTTTAAACTGCACTAATGTTGGCTGATGTTCGGCCACAGGGACGAGTTATCTTCACACACACACACACGCCAGGGTTGGGGCCACTGTGTGTGTGGGAGTCCAGTCGTTCTCTAGGATAGAGAAGAAGCTGTTCCTGCTGTCCACCTGTTGTTGCTACATAATATCGCACAGACTAACCCGCTTCACAACACATCTAGTTACGAGTTTAAGCTAAACCACCTGTGTGTCAGAGCTTCTTCTTTGTACGGGAAGCGCGTGCGTGCCTCACCCGGAGATTCAAACCTTTGCTCTATGACACACGCAACACTATTGCAAATGAGCACACACACATAATACTTATACGTTTAATGCCTGTAAATACCGTTAGCATATTTCTACAAAGCCTGTGTGTTTTGTTTGCTAAACACTGCTATTGAAAAACCACCCTTAATTACCAATCACCTGCACACAGAAGGACCAGTGAGAACACCTGTAACCAATTAGATCACTTAGAAATCAGAGTTTGAACAAACAGGATTCGGGTTTGCTTTTTGGTGTGGAGGCCACTTTTGGAGAGAAGATAGTAAATGCAATATACTGTATTTTGTTTGCAGTACACGAATGTCAGTGTAACTAAGCACATCTGTGCTTGTTGATGGTCCTTCTTGAACATCATCTTGCTGAGACATGTTGTCCACCTGGCCAACTGTAAAATGTGTGAAATAATAAAACTAAGAATACTTTCATAATATGCCTTTTAAATAAAGTAAATTGGATATTTAATGTTTTTTTGTTTTTTTAACAAATGGACATCTACTGTCATAGCCTGGCTAACTGTGAACTATATTATCTGCCAGTAATTGATATGGCATTATGACATTCACATTGAGAAGATACAGCATAACTTGTAATACAGTGCAAGATTAGATGGTCAGATGTCTCTTGATAAGGTTATCATGAACATACAAGCTCCCAATCTCCCTCTTCCTATAGCTAGCTACTCGACTGATAAGTTAATTTGCTAAACACTGGCTATGAACTAGCCTAGACAGCATGCTAGCGTCATTAGCATGTTAGCATTGATCACTAGCTTGATATTATAACTATCACCATGTATATACAATAGGCTATGTAGCCAGACCCAGACATACATTATACATCAAGCTAGTTGACATCTGTCACACTCAGATAAAATATCTACCTTGACAGACAATCCGTTGAACTTGAAGACTGAACTCGTGAACTGTTTTTTGATTCGTGGAGAAAGTATTTTGAGTATTTTAAATACAAAATGACTCCCCTCTAAAGTATTTTGTTACAAATTACGTTTGATTTTTATCGGCCCGATCAAATACAAATTACAAAATACTCAAAAGTAATTGAAATACGTATTTCAAATACAAGTAATAGAAATACTGCCCATCTCTGACCAGAGTGAAGACAGATCACAGAATAAACTCAAGTTTATATTTGATTAGGTTTCTGATTCACCATCTGGTTTAAATAAATCTCCATTGTAGTCTGAACAACAAAATGACCACAAACAACTCTCTTCATTTATTAGAAAGATTTGTGTTTTCATGATCTGATGTTTCCCTCAATAACTTTTATTATGGAAACAATTAAAGTCAGAGAGAGCTGGAGAGACGAAATACTTTTTACATCATTCTTGAGTGTTTGATGAGTTTTATCATTTAAGAGAAACAATAATCATATTCTGGGTTATTTAATAATGACGCCACAGTCACAATTTCAAAACATACAGACGCAAATAATTCATAAATAAGACAATCACATTCCACCGGTAGAAATGGATCCTGCGCTTATAAACAGAACACAGGACACAGTTTGTTGACAGACTACAGAGAGAAACACCTCTACAGTGGTGATTACTGTGTCTTTATTCGTTATTAGTATTATTAGTTACTAGTATTAAGTACAGTGATCATGTGAACAGACATAAACTTCTCAAAAGTCTCTCCAGCTGTTAAAGCCGACTGACAGCTGATCTAGCTGTGATCAGCTGATCCACCGTCATCAGAAACAGATGTCGCTTCACCTGACGCAACTGAGGAAAGGACGTCTCATGTCTCTTAAAACATAATTCCTCGTTCCTCTCTCCTTGCATGGTTTCCTCCATGCATCCCTGGTGGGAGGGACTAAGACGCAAGGAAAGGACGCAAGTGAGGGAAACGGGGAGAGACTTGGGATGTACCCCCTGTCTCGACTATAAACCCTTCAGTGAGTGCCACCTGCAGGTCAACCAGCTGAATCCCAGATGTGAAGCTGCAGCTGCTCCTGCATTCATCAACCCACCTCAGGTTGGATGGCTAGATAGACAGACTGAAGGATATTCGTTGATGGACAGACTGACTCACTGACCAGTGGATTGTGGTGTTTTCACAGACTCATCATGAAACCTGGCCTACAGTTCGTCCATACTTTTACAAGACGACAAACAGCATCTACGGCTCTTTTAGCTTAACGAAGGTGAACCACACTCGCATGCAGCAAGTTCGCAGATAAAGTCCTTTATTTTCTAAGTAGCTTTCTGTTACCAGTACCACCCATCACCCTCACTCACATAGGGCTCTATCTCTCAGCCTCCCATATGTTCCCTCTTCCCTGGCTCCTTGCATCCTTTGGGCATCACTGCTCCTTCCACGTCCGAGGCGTTTGTTGGCTCCTCCCTAACAGAGGCGAGGACACAGGAAGAGGGAGTTGCATGGGAGATTGGGCCTTTACTTGGTGGGGAGAACAAAGGTCAGCTGCACTATGTCTTGGGTGGATAGGGTAAGGAGTTCTCCGAGTCACGCTGTAACACACACACACACACACATCCATCTAAGCTGGCGGCTGCATTGAGTCAATTTTCTTTTGATAGCAAATATGTTGGAGCAGCAAGAGACAAAAGATGAGCCTCAGAAGAAGATTGATGTTCTCTACAAGGAAGGTAAGATTACTCTTTTTACTTCTGGAGTATTGATTTGATTCACCATGTCATTTTTCAAAAAGGAAATATTTTGAAGTGCTTTTGGCTTTTTAAAAATCACCAGATGCTTTCACTGTTTAATCAAGACATTCTTTTAGCCTGTAATTGTTTCAAGGGCCTTCAAACAGTATGTTAAGTGGCTCCTGGGAGTACAGAACCACGCATAACTTCCATAAATCTGCCCTATAATTGTGCACTTTTAGGTGTGATCGTGTTTTCATCCCATGTCGGTCCGGCCTGCTGTGAAGATTTCCTGAGATCTGTCTGCAGAGAAGCCGGGCTGCAGAACCAGCTCAACCTTCCTGTGGCCTCCAGTCCAATTATCACAACCAGAGGTAGAACAACCCTCTGTCACACATGCGCGCGCACACACACACATGCAGAAAGACGCTTGTCCCATAGGGTCAATGTGCTTTGATTCCTTCCTCTGAATAGATGCTGAAAACCATCTAATCCGCTTAGAACAGGCTGTTGGACTGAAAAACAGCACCTTCCTGCAGCCTGCTTCCAGGCAGTGTCATCGGTAAGCCACAGGCACAAAGCTCACCTTTATACCTCCAACACACTTTTCAAATTTCTTTTAGTTTCTTCTCACACACCCATCTTGTACCCTCTGTAGCAGCATAATTCCTCCGGCCCATGTACAGCCCATTTTCTACTGCATAGAGCCCACCAGCACGCTACCGCTGATCGAGTACCAAGCCCAGTACATTGCCTAGGTAAGAGTGTGTGCGTGTGTGATGATACTCTAGCCCTTCGACTTTTTCCTTGTGTATTTCTCCTTTATTACCATGTGTCTCCTCCTAGTGGGCCCGGCCTAAGATGCAGCAGAGTGACATTCACCATCGTCATCCTCCTCGTCACCAGATACTTTATCATCCACTCTGAATCTCAACACACGGCAGAATAACTAAAAACATTTGTTTGTTTATTGTGTCAAACACGACGAACCACTCAAAATTCTGCCACTTCGTCCGATCACCTGCACTTTCCAGGCCGAAAAGGGCTGCCACGTATTAAAAAGCCCTTGAAACTGAGGTGGCGTTCAAGATTATCTTGCCTCAGGATACACGAGCTGAGGATGAGTCCTAACACAGCAGTAAACCATCTGTTGGCGACACTTAAAGAGACAGCGAAATGGGCTTCTTGTCACCCTGTTGGTATGAGGTGGAAATGTGTTCACGGCAGCGCAGTGGTGGAGGAAGTACTCTTTGCTTTCGTAAAATATAAACATACAATGTAAAAATACAAGTTCTGCATTCAAATGCATCAAGTAAAAGTACACGGTATGCAGAGTTGTCTATTCTAAATGTTATATTCGCTTACGTGGCTGTGGCTACAGTTGGAGCTCAGCTTTCTTTTTAAATTTTTTTTTATTAATGACTGAATTACATGACTGTTGCCAGGAATTAAGTTGCATTCTATATGCGAGACTGAAGAAAATAGGTCCTTTCTCCAGTTGCCGTTTTATTTATTACACAGTAGAATAAACATTTCTGTTTGTACAAAGTCAATCATGTTTTTAGCTGAGGAGCAGAGATGATCAAGCTGGTATGATGACTTTGGGGGGGGGGGGGGGGTCACCGAGGTCATCTCACCAGCTTGATGACGTTCTGCTTGCTCTATCAGATGGTGACCTTCAGTGCACCCTGGGGTGGTTTACAGCCGAGTGTGATGCCAGCAGAATGAGTCTCTAAATGTACTAGCTCTTGAGGTAGTCTTATCACTAGGATAGTGTTCAGTCTTCATTTCAAGGGGTCAGTGCTGCTCTCATCAGTGGAGGTTCCCTCTTTTTCTGAGGCTCCTCCTGTCCCACAATGAGGAAGTAGCACAACAGTATCACGCGGCCATCAATGGTGTAGTTGGACACCCTGAACCAGGCCCCTTATCTCCTCCTCTGCAGCAGAGGAGACTGTTGTACGGCGGACCCCGCCACTCCAAAAGGCAAGATGTCATTCCTGCGGTCTGCTTCCAGAAGCGCTACATCAACTTTGTTTGGGTGGACTGGAGAGAGCAGTCTGCCAGCAGGAGGCCTAGAGGGAGCGGTGAGCAATATGGACAAAATGCATATTTGTTTAATCTTATGTTGTGGCAGATTTAAGTCAATAAATCTATTTAACATTAAAAAGTGGAGCTCAATATGACTATAGACAGTAAAATGTATATATCTTGCAGCCCTACCTAAAGCCTGCTGGGGCCACCATGACCTGTGCTTGTTTTGTGACCAAACGACAGCACATAGCAATCTGCACGACCTCATATTTATCAGCGAAGGCGGTTCGCAGTGTCCCGACCTTCGCCGTGGACACAGGCGAGTCATCTTTGGTGGCGCTGCAGTTGTGGCACTGACAGTGGAAAGGGTGCGCAGGTGTTCAGACGGTTCCTCGAGTTGATAACGTGTAGTCTGACGTCTCGTCGCTTTCCTAAATGCAAAGCAAGAGTCATCTAACTTGAAAGGACTTTACCTTCTTTTGGGTAAAATTGTAAAAAAAAAAATGAAATCACATTACTTAACAGTCAAAAGCAGCCAATTGATGTTTATCACTTTTCCGTTTTCTGAGATTTCAAGCTTTCTAAACACCGGCATCTTTAATGAGCTGAAACTGCTCCAGATAAATCACTGAGCTCTGTTCATACCTGATGAACTGGCCCGAGTTCAAGTTCCATATTCACAAAATAGTTCCCTCCTCTTCTTAGAGTTTCCATTTCTTCTTCTGTCACAAAGCTGCTCACTTTCAGTCATATCAGATTTCCTTGGCAGACAGATTTTACCCAGTTTTCATGGAGTTGCTCATTATCAAAATTGTAGGTCTGCAGACAAATTGATATTTAAACAACGCACCTGCTGAGGAAGCCGGTGGGATATGATAGAAAGCTCTAGGACGGCTACTAAAAGGACCTTGTGGTGAGATTGTTTTGTCAACTGCTGCTTCTCCGGTCAAGAGTGAACTCCAAATTTTTAAGCCAACACGGACCAGAGTCCATAAAGTGTTCAGAAAAATGAGTTTTAACATCAACAGTCCAAGAATGCAAGAAAAAAAAAATAAAAGATTTAGTATTTCCCCCCTATATAGTTTGACTGACAATATCAGTTATTTGAGCGTGCTGGTCCAGTGTGTTTCAATATGTGACAAAAGACCGACAGAGCATTTTGTCTTTAACATCTTTATTCTTCTTTTTTCATTATTTTTATTTGTATTGAAATTCATACTCTGTGTCTTCTGGACCTCTTTTCTTTCTTTTTTTTTTTTTAATTTCTTTTTTTTAAACGGCTTCTGTCATCTAACGCATCTAAACAAAATCACCAAAAATGATTTCATGTTGTACAATCCACCTGGCGGACATTCCTATTGGCTTCACCAGGGCGCCATTCTGTGGTCCAACACTGAGAGGAAGTTCCTTTTAACCAGGATGTCACCGTCTCTGCTGCCGAGTTAAGAACACACTCGAGTACAAGTGCACAAGTGTCGACTGTGACAGTAAAATACACGAGAGATTATTGTCACCAATACCACAAATGAACAGTGGCATGAAGGATCGGATTACAAAACGACAATATCCCCTCCGCATTTTCAACCTAAGACGGCTGAGAGCGAGAAAAACTTACTAAATAATTCATGTTTACCGTTGATCGGAATCTGGGTTTCCTAAAAAGCATCTCCACGTGTACAACTTTTTCCTAAAGGTTTTACAATTTAACGGAGATCATACTCGCGCCGATGCTTCAGGGAAAGCCAGACCACAAAGATGTACGGTTAAAAAGAACTTCCTCAAAAAAAGTCAACGTACAAAGAGAAGAACAGCAAGGAAGCCATACTGTCTGCCATGTGTTCCATACTGCTTTATTCTGATTGGCCATGACAATATTGTCCCCTCAAGTTTCCTCCTGCAAACAGGGCCTGAATGGACACCACAGGTTACTATACCCAGTAGAGACACAAAAATTCCTCATCCTCAAAAACATGAGAGAAAAAAGAAGAAAAGAGGAGGAGAGGCTATTTGAAAACCTGATTTGGATATGGACACTCGATCTGAAGCTGGACAAACCAAACTGTTCTAGCAGAAAGAGGCAGTGACTGTGTTCCAGACCAAATACTCCCCATGTAACAAGGTTGTTCACAACACCTCGGAAATCCAAATAGAACTCAAGGATGAAGCCGTGAACAAAAAACAAAAACAAACTGAATTTTTTTTTCTCAAGGTTCACAAATCTGACCTTCCCTCTCTAATATTTTTCTTGCTTAACTTGACTGCTGATGCATGATTGAGAAACTCACACTTCTGTTCTAATAAACTGGACAAACGATAAACATGGACTTCCACATAAATCGGGAAAATAACTTCTTATCCATGATTACGCCTGTCCACGTCTGTTCAGATCACTTCAAAACAAGCGTGCTGGGAGGGATAGGGGGGGGTCTGTAATTGGTTTGGAACGGAGTCGCCGCAAATACAAACAAGAACCCACATTTCTAGACACACAAGAGCTGTGATGTCACATGAGCTTATGACAAAATAGGAGCAAACGTTAACGGGTTCGACCGACCGTGAGGACGCGACAGAGCGGCTGCAGAGACCCGTCAAGTCCCTTGAGTCTACCCTCACCGTCATGAAGACCCTCAGCCTACGGACGATGTTTTCTCAAATCTGACAGCACGCAGATTAACGAGCATGTGCAGTAATTTGTTTATTAGATGTTTTGTTGGGGCCGACGTTTTGTCCCGGTACCACTGCTTGGTAGCTGCCTCAGTTCCATATGGAGGAGGGGGGGGGGGGGGGGGGGGGGGGGGGGGGGGG